CTCCTTGATTTAGGAAGTGGATGTCCAACATAAATCCAGCCAGGTTATCATTATTACTATTGTTGTTGATGATGTTATTATTAATCAATGTGTAGTTTCAAAATTCTTACTTTATATATATATATATATATTAGCACCAAATCGTTTTACAATCATTACTAGCTTTTGTTTATGAGTGACAACAACAATAATAACAGGTTCACTGGCAGCGCTGGGTGAAGGAATGGGACTAAATGGTCAAACACAAAGAAAAACTGGACAGAGAAACCATGAAGTGACCGTAGACGGAGTGAGAAATGAGCCTGAACGCACAACTAACCGTGTGTGTGACTAACTGAAGGTGTGCGCACGTATCTAGGAAACGGATCGAGGGGCGATGGACTGGAATGTGATGTTCAGAGATGTGGAAAGATGGAGAGAGGAGGTGAGAGGAGAAAATAAGAAAGAAGTTAATAAACTCTGAGCTGATTCCACCGCAGCTGTGATCATTCAGGTGACAACACGTGTGTGGAACAGTTGTTTTTATCAGTATGGAGTTATTTTAAATGTTTATTATAAATATCTGTGAGAATGATCTCTGCGTCTCTCTGTGTCGTCTCACATAAAGGTGTTGGTGGTTTGTTTTTTTTTTAATTAAAGCCTGAAATGTCAAACGGGATTTTATATCAAATCAATCTTTTTATATCCTCACAGCACACTGTTACTGTTACTGTTAATGTTACTGTTACTGTTACTGTCACTGTTACTGTCACTGTCACTGTTACTGTCACTGTCACTGTTACTGTCACTGTCACTGTTACTGTCACTGTCACTGTTACTGTCACTGTCACTGTTACTGTCACTGTCACTGTTACTGTCACTGTCACTGTTACTGTCACTGTCACTGTTACTGTCACTGTCACTGTTACTGTCACTGTTACCTACAGCATATCATTGGTTTGTTTGACAGGCACTGGATAGAAAACTGTTGCTTTGTCATGAAATCACAGCAACGCCACAGGTTTGAGACAACTAACAGCAGCTGCTCTGAAGTTCTTGCTGCTTCAATAATTTCTTAAATAAATACTTAGTGGCTGTCAAACAATGAGCACCTTTAACCTGACAAATCACATGGCTGCTGTGTAATAATCAGGATTATTCAAGATTAATCAACTTCTGAAGATGACTTTTTTAATTGTTTATGTTTCACACCTGTTTTTATCAGTGACTAATTCACATTTCTATTTTGGAAATGTCAAGAAAAATATCCAAGTAGAAAATGTAAAATGTTGCTTTGTTGATCTGTGTAAATTCACCCAAAACGTTAAAAAAAACAACAGGTTAAACCAAGAGCAACTCCCTCTAAGACAAGATTTACATTTTTTTTTAATATTTCTCTTATTTCTAACACTATAATTAAGAATGTTTCGCTCTTCACAAACAGTTAATTTTCCCGGCACGTTCCACGACACATTAGTCGTGCATCCAGATTTTACAGACCAGTTCATGACCCTAGAAAAGTTCACAAAGATTCATAAAGAAAAACAGAGGATGACCAGTGATTTGGTCAACATGGAGACTGAAACTGACCCTCAACATAAGATGAAGGTTAATCAGTTCTTCAGAGAATGTCTCAGGAGTTTGTCTGTCGTCCTCCACATTATCAATCAGTCTGTGGTATTTCAAACAAAAACTTTTCCACTGTTTTTCTCGCTGCGAGGACACGTTTGTTACACTTATATTTTGTTTAGTCATATGAACTGGTTAAAATCCCAGATGTCTAACTCCAGAATCCAAGTATCCCAAGTACGTCTCGGTCCATTAGGTGTTCGTGACGAACTTTCCCGTAGGCTATAATCATTTCAAATAACTTTGAGCATCAAGAGGAGTTATTGCTCTCCTCACACTCCACAGATAATTGAGAGTGTATAAAAACAACTATCACCTCATTTGGCGAGCACAGCTTCCTCCTCCTCACAGAGTGACAATCCTGGAGCCGAGTCAACTGTTTTAAATTACTACACTCACAAGCCCATAAACTAATAGGATGAGTGTCCTTATAAAACTGTGCCGCGCTGTAAAATTTTACTTGTATGATTTACCGTTTACAGTTCATCTCCTGTGAATTTCTTCCCCCTTTATTCGGGGGAGGGGTGTTAAAAGACAACTTTATATAAAGTACACACTTCCAGGCAGTAAATCAGTCGTTAATCAAAAGCATAACGGAAAATACAGAGTGCTGATGCGAACAAAACGAGTTAGAACGCCATCAAATGCATTTGGTGATAAATTACCATCCCTTAATCTTAATCCCAACTATTCCAATCAAACCCTTCAGTCGAGATTATTTGTCCTTCCACTTCACACCACCTGAGGTCAGCATTCTTTAATCACACCTGCCTGCATTAAAATATACATATTCAAAGTGGCATTTTTTATATATATATATTTTTACATGGCACAACAAAAATGTTGCCCAAAATATATGGAATAATATTTAGTAATCTGTTTCAGTTTACTCACAATATTCCTGCTCAGTTTAAAACCTGGGCCTGTTTAGTTGAACACAACGCAGATAGAGAGAACTCTCAGGAATTGAAGAAAGACAAACACGTGGATCTCGAGTATTATGTTAGGTTACTATCGCAAAAGACAAAGGCAGAGGAAATAAATGATAGTTTTCAGACCAACTCCACGGTGCACCTGATGACGTCACACGTCACAGTAATGTACCGCGGCACAGTGTTTGGGAATCACCGACTACCGTAAGGTACCACTGTCCTTGATGGGGACTTAGGTGTTTGCCAGAATGATAAGGGATGGTTGAGGAGGAGCAGGAGGAGCAGGAGGAGGAGAGCAGTAAAAACAGGACACAGCACCTGCACAGAGAGACGGCTGCCATCTCATAAAGAAAGTCGACGGCTCGCCGCTGCCTCATAAATCCGTCCTGTGTCTGCGGTCGGCTTTATGTCCACACGTCTCCTGACGCACAAAGAGATGATTTGACTCATATATTCAGAATTGGTTTCATTCCAAGTCGCTCTGCATAAGGATAACTTTATTAGTCTTTTTACACCAAAACGCAGGTTCAACAATCCGTTTCTTTTCTCTAATTCTTCAAACCAAGACCAAAGTGTTGGAACAACGACTGACTTCAAAGTTCCTGACTCTCCTGTAAAGTTCCACTGTTCTCCCCACACCCTGCTCTCCCAGCTGCCCACTGATATGTTAAACACTAAACTGCCGTCTAATGGTTTTTGGCCCTGGAAATGGATACCGGCTCAGGACCATAAAGGCACATTACACAGTAAATGCCCCATTTAGTGAAGATTACCCTGAGGACGCTTATTCTATCATTTTATGTTGGGGTCCGTGTTGTCCTTGGACTCTGGGCGGCTGTAATCGCAGCGAGGCGGTTGTTGCAGGAAGTGAAAACTGAACAACATCACGTCCCGTTGTTCCTGACAACCTGGACGACAGCAGTTGTGGTTTGGTCTCATATAATCCCAACGGCGGCCGCGTCACTGCCAACGTTTCCCAACATGTTTGTTTGTCTCCGTGTTTTATGTGCAGTAAAAAAAAAGTCAAAGTAAAGAATGGAGTTTGGTGAAGGTCCAAGGACAGACGCATCATTTCAAACCACCGTGGAAAAAAAAGGATTCTCCCAGTGAGTGAAATTTCTCAGATTTCTCAGAATCAGATTTCCTTCTTAAATTTAAATCATATACAAACTCCGACAGCGTCTCTGGTCCACACGCTGGAGCAACAAACCGTAAATAAAATCGAAAAATAAAAACATCATGTAACCAAAAGCCATCCATTATCTAGCAGTTTTTTTTAGAGACGCAGGGGGCGCTAGAGTCAATCGCAGATGTCAACAAACCTGGAGACTACACACAAGGAGAACTCCATCCCAAACAAATGACATGGACCAAAGGAGGACCTGTCAATCATTCTAACAACATATTTCTACCTGTAATCAATTAGAAAAAAAATAAATGTTTGTGTCTGACAGAAGACAAACTGCATCGGCATCATTTCACTTCATATCTCTGTGGAGTCAATATGTCAAAATATCAGCCATAATTTGTCAACAGTAACAAAGAAGTCGTCGTCAACTCTGTGTCTAGATCAAATCTACTACAAGAATCAGGTTCGGCCAAAATTAAACCTTGAAATACCAGGACTTCAATAAAAAACGGTTTGAATGAATTTATTTCACTCTGAAGTGAAGTGTTGAATATGAATAACTGTATCACAGCAGGAAGGTGAGGATTTGGGCAGCGTTTAAGTTTCACATCAGTGTGAATCAGCGTGCACTTTGACACCGTTCGCTGTATTTAAAGGCAACTCAACTGAAAAAGCCCTCAGTTCGCTTTTGTAAAGTGCAAAGTTAAAAAAAAAAAAGATACATTTTTCCAGCTTGAAACGGTGGATGATTTAACCAGAGTCAACGGTTCAAATGTAACAGCAACAGAAAGAACACGTGTTAATGGTCGAGGGGGTCACAGAGTACAGAGGGGGGGCGGGGGGGGGGGGGTGGGGGGGGGGTTGATCACTGTCTCTAACAAATAAATAAACTTTTACATTTAGTCACTGAGTTGGTTTTACAGTATCCACGTGACACCGTGACCCCGTGACCCCGCGTGCTGTTCACGCCGGGCCGCGCCGCCTGCACTGGAACAGCAGAGAGTTCATCCGAGAGCGGGGATTAGCACTGCCTCAGGAATGATAAACGCACTTCTTTACCGTGGCTTGTAAAACCACTGTTTGCAGATTACCCCACCATCAGGTGGCGCAGACAGCTGCGAGTGTACGGCCTGAACGGACGCCAGGACCATAACGCTCGCTCTTTCAGAGTTCCTGCGGGAAAATGGCCGGTGTCGCAGCAACGGACGGAATAAGTGACGGGTTGGATGATTGTTCTATTTGTGGAAGGCGTGGTTCTGCATTAGCTCATATTGGTTCTCAAGTCCTGGGACGTGTCCTGAACCTGGTTTGTGTCTGGGTTTCTCACTTACCTTACAGCAGAGGCTCCCGAACGTTATCTGCAGCGCCCCCCTTCTGTAGCGAGGATTACTGCTGAGCTCCCAGCCCTGTCGACACATCACATCAAATCTCCACTGAGTTTCATGGAAAACTCTGGAACTCCTTCAAACTGAGGAAATATAATGACAATCAGTGCAGTCTCCCCCTGGTGGCACAAACAAAGGAAATATTAAAGTTGAAATTAACTTGCTGCACACACCCACCCCTCTAAACCTCCATGCCCCCCTCCCCCCCCCCCCCCTCTTTGGAATCCACTGCCTTACAGAGAGGAGATGAAGCTCTTTACACTCAGGCTTTTTCCATAAACGGAAAAAAAACACAGATTTGATTCGGTGTCTTCCAGAATTTGAGGTGAGTGTAAAAACATGTTTGTCTTAGTCATTAAAGGCTGCACTGAGCTGAACTCACCGACTGGCCTCGTGGAACCCCATCATCGCTGGATGACTGCTGAGACTGGCTGCGACTGCCGCCAGACCCTGGAGAGAATGAAGCAGAAGAAGACGAATAAATAAAGTTGCAAACGAACAAACAATATCAAAGTCACCTCAGAGGAGGAATTAAACCGACGGTCCGACTTTCTTAGAGATGCTGCTGTGTGTAACAGTGACAATGGAACCTGACACAGTGTCTACACGGTCATTAGAGGCGTCTGAAGTAAATAAGAAATATGTGAGAAACGTGGAACAAATCTGTGAAAATCTGCCTAAAGAAGCCTCTGCTGTGGTTTGACCTTTCACGACTGTCAGTGCAAAAGGTTAAATGTTAACTGTGGAAATGTGAGCCGAGGTTCATCAGACAGCCGTGGCATACACCTGTGACTCATCCCCAGCATTACAATTCAGGTTTAAACCACATCTGTGTGTCTGCATATCTAACTTTAAAGGAACTTTCAGACAGTTTTTCCCAAACTTTGTCACAGACCTTCGTGACCCAATAGTCAATAGACGTTATTCGTAAACTCCTGGGAAACGATGATGCGAGACAAGCCAAAAAAAAAAAAAAGAAATCTCTTGCGACCCACCTGAGGGTCGCGACCCAGTCTTTGGGAAACAATGCTTTAAGGGACACTTACTTTTCTACAGCATTTAACTTATAACAAATATCTTTGATGAAAGTTAGTCTTGAATTTGTGATTATATATGTTTACATACATATATATTTGTGTATAAATACATATACATATATACACCCATATATGCGTGTGCTAAGGATACATGTATCTAGAGACAAATGAAGCAAATATTGAAAGAAAACATTCAGATGAAAAATGGGACGTAATCAAGGGAGAGATTTTAATTAAACCACTGTGCCGTCAGTCAACGTCAGTTATTACTAGAAGAGAATGAAAATTACCCCTCAATCAGCGACAGATCAAAGAACTAATGCTCAAAGAATTCTGAAATCGTGAGGCAAAAGAATCCTTGTTGAAATTGACAACTGCAGTGAAATGTTCTTTTATGGATTAGAAAATGATTAGAAAATATCCATGAATTTTCCATTTTCTGAGTGAAGTTGTTCAAGGTTACAGGTGAACATGGTTCACTTAATAATAATAATAGTAATAATACATTACAGCCCAACAACATACTGAATACACCACAGCTTGTCCTTCAGAGCCGGGGGGAGGCGGGGGGGGGGGCACTCTGTCCACGGACCCCTAAACTGATGGAGGAAGGACGCTGCTTTATACGCTGTGTTGACCAAGGTTTGAGTCCCATGAATGTGACTACAAAAGAGGAGGGTTTTGTTTTGGGGGAGAGGGGGGTTTAATGAATGTTCTACTTGTGGAAGGTCTAGCTCTGCACACGTATATAAACATAATTTATTTTACATTCAATACCAGGCTATTAATTAAAACAGCATCATATAATAATATTTTCTTTTTTTAATCTTTTATCTTACCACCTGCCGTCAGACCCTGCCGTCAGACTGGAGTTTAAGGGTCTGTTGACCCTGGACATTCACCAAAGCAGAGAGAAGTCCATTTTTAGATGATTTTTTTAGACCTATTAGCTGAGCCTCAATTATCGTGGAGACAGGCTGCAGTGACTCAGCGTCCGCCGCTGCTTCCTGACAGTTAGAGCCGCGTAGAGACTCGGATTAGTCAGCGCTCTATTATTACCTACAGACGTACATAATGAGCAGGGACTGACTTTTTTTTTTTTTCTGTGCTTTTTTGACAGTGAGTGAAGAAGCGTCTTATATCCAGCTGTGACTGTTACCGTTAACTAACAGTGAAGTGTCAAACGTGTAACATAGAAACTCTGAACTCTCTTCTGAATGATGCTGGATCTATGTTGTCTGATTCTACTGTTCATGATCAGACAGATATCTTTAGTGACCAGATGTGGACCGCAGGCCGGACGGTCAGACTCTCACACGTGTCATTTATACATTTGTGATTCTGTGAATTCTTTGCATTGTTTCACTGAAATAACGTCATGTCACTGGTATTTTTACATTTTCTGATGCACATCTGCATGTGAATATTCAAATGTTCACTGTTAATGAGCAGATTTAATTCATGATCCAGGTTCAGATGTTCACACCCTGTCTGACATCATAACGCTCACACACTGGCTCTAGGCAAACTATGTCATTAAGGTCAATTAGAGTAAAAGTCAAGCCCGTCCCGTGTTACTGGAATAAACTACAGGTAATGTGATGTTGATGTCATGAAACAATGTTTTATTTTAAAAAGAAAAAAAAATCTGTGATCGTCGTCCAGTCAGAAAGTTCACTGAAAAGTTAGATTTTCAATGGAAAATACAACTACACCAGTATAAACACGGACTCTCTCTCTCTCCCACACACACACACACACACACACACACACACACACACATCGGTTCTCTTCCTTCCTCCCCTCCGGAGCCTCTCTGTCCCTCTCTCCCCAGTCGGGATTATTTACCACCACATTCAGAAGCTAAAGCTGCTCTGCCCTAGGAACGCCTGCAGCCATGCAGCAATCAAAGCTAAGCGCCTTCCTCTATCACCTGCACCCACGGGAGCTGAAAAATGTAGAAGCAAAGAGAAGAGGAGGAGGAGACGGAGAAGATGCTTAGGGAAGAGATACAGACCAGGGACGGTGACGGGAAGACGGAGGAAAAATCCTGAAACCTTTGGGAGCGTGTGAAGGAGAGAGTGGAGGAACGAGCAGAAGAGAAACCCCAGCAGCAAACAGTCCATCCCACGTGGGCACTTTGGGGCCCAGAGAAGCAAGAAAGGAAACAATGAGAGGGAACAGGTGGGGAGAGGGGGAGACATAAGAACAGGAAGTGGAGAACATCATGGAACAAAAGGCAAAAAATAAACGGAAAATGACGTGAACTCTGTCGTTCTTCAGATGTTGGAGAAATAAACAACACAAAGTGAAAAGTCTCTTTGAAAGGCTGTGAATGAGGATCTAGAAAGACTTAAAATGTTTAAAAAAACAGAGAGAGAGAAAGAACATGAGAAAAGGAGGAACCAAAACTGGAAAACACTGTTAGATGAAGTTGAAACTGATTCTTCAAAGTGGTGACATTTGCTGTGGTTCCCAAACTTTGTCACAGGATTAAATCAAATATTGGAGGGAGAGGGGGGTGAGTGGGGGGGGGGGCCTGTTTGACTTGAACTTCCTTTTTTTTTTTATTAACAGCGCTCTTCCATCTAATGTCAGTAGAATTAACATTTACCTAGGGCCAAAATAATAATAAAAAAAGAGTTGCACCAGAGTTGCCTTAAAAGTTGGAATTTGCATTTCTTTCATCATTATTTGTGTTTGTGAATATAAACCAACTTATAACAAGACGACGGAATCAAAGTTCACATTTGGCGGCGCTGTCTCTGAAGCACAGGTTTTTTTGTTCCTTAACTGACACCGGTGCCCAGCACCAATTAAACCGTGGAAAGTTCTGGATTTTAATTGATCGTTACCACAATTATCTCACACACTTCACTAATTACCTTTTTAAAATAACGGACAGCGAGGCTGCTCCATAGCTGGATTTTTAAAAGGCACAGTTCCTAAAATGGACCCGTGGTGTTTAACACTCAGGTTGATGTGAACTTTAGAAAAACAGTTCCTGTATTTGACCAACGCAGCCTTTTATCTTTAAACACGCCATGAAGCCTGAACAACAGGTTTAAAAAAAAAAAATGAAATGAAGGAGTGAGAGGCGCTGAGTTTCCACAGTTAACAACTCAGATGATGAAGAGACGAAGAGTAGAAGAAAAAAAAAATCAACAGGAAAATGTGATAAACACAGATGAGCTCAAAAAGCGAGCGGCGGCGTGCTGGGCCTCCTGTGAAGTGACAGGACGACGAACACCTGAGACTCGGGCGCCGGCGTTCGCAGAAAAGGAGAAAAAATACGTCCTGGGTCTGGCTTGTATCTTCTTGTCTCTTTCTTGTGATAAAAGTAATAAACAGCAGCATGTGATCTCCGCCTGTGTTTACGCCTGTGTGTGCGTGGGCACGTGCACGTGGGCCCGTGTGCACGAGGGCGTGTGTTTGCTGCATAAATGAGGCAGCCTCTTTGGTTTGACAGGGCTTTATGGATGGAGCAGAGATAAAAGGCAGATCCATTTGTGGCCCGTATTAGAGAGGAGAATGTGTGGCCACCATTTCAGCTGCTATTACCCAACATCCTTTTCACTTTGCTCTCCTTCATCTCCTCCTTCTTTTATTTCGTTGCGTCTTCAAACCACTTATACTCTCACCTCTATACTAAAAAAAATAAGCTTTCTGTCGAGAGTTGGCTTCAAGATGTGGAGCCACGTGAAATGAACAATTCATCACATTCAATATGAAAGTCAAACAGTGTAAATGTACATTATAATGATATCATTAAAACAAATGTCATCATCTGGAGTTCAGTTCAGCATCATATTTATATAGTGCTCGGAAATGGTGATAAGAACAGATCGTTTCTATGTTTGATATTTCTAGAAAGAGTTGAGTTTCTGCACCGACTCCTCAGTTAGTTAGTTAGTTAGTTACAAAGCTAGCTGGCTAGTTAGTTTAAAGCTAGATAGCTAGTTAGTTACATGACAAGCTAGTTAACTATGTAGCTTATCTACCTGGTTGGTTAGTTAGTTAAATCTTATTCTTCTTCTAGTGCAGGATCAACAGTCTCAGGCCTGAATTTACAACAAATCTTCCACATTCGTCACGTCCCAAATAAACGCTGCTTCTCAGTGGAAAGTTCCCAACGTGGAAAAGGCAAATGAATTCCAGTCCTTCACATCTACCTACAGTACATGAATCACTCCATTACTGATCGACTCTCAGCGACAGCCACTGTCCTCAACGTGCAGCTCCACTGGCCCTCGATGGCGTCAACAGGAGCCCCGTCGACAGCTTTACGGCCGAGTCAGCGCGGCCAATAAGAGTCCCTCACCGTCCATTAGGACAGATGAGAAGATAATGATACCAAAAGAGTTTGACAACAAGAGCGGCTCGAACAGTTGATGGGAATAAGTGGTGACGCAG